CAACCAATCTATGGTCAGTACCACAGAACTCAGCACTCCTGAACACCCTGCAATTCTGAAGGATCCTCCAACGAGTGCTAACAAGTATGTGGTCGATCTCCTTGGCTGCGTTACCCGCATCACTGTACCATGTCCAGCGATGTGGGTCTGGGCGCTGTACCAGGAGCCAGAAATCCTCAATTTCTGGGATCTTGCAAAGTCCCGGAAAAGGAGGCTATTCTCGCTACCCATCAGCTCCTGAACCATGGGGACCGACAGACATCTCATAGCCAGCTCGATCACAGCCAGATACCGCATTGAAGTCGCCCAGAACAATGCGAATATCTCGTCGAGGACATCTGTCTGCCACAGATGTAAGTTTGGCGTAGAACATCTCTTTCACGTCAAGTTTACAAACATCGGTAGGAGCGTACACAGCAATAAGAGACATGAAGCCAAAAGAAAGCTTCAATCTCAATACCATTATACGCTCATCAACAGGAGTAACCTCTACTACCGAGGGCTGGAGTCTGCTGGAGACGGCAATGGCTACTCCCTGGAGATGGTGGCCATCGCTGCGGCCCGACCAGTAGTAGGTGTAGCCACCTACACAGGTCATGCCGCTGCCAGGCCTCCTCACCTCCGAGAGAGCAGCCACTCAACTCTCAGCCTCCCCAGTTCCCTCGACAGTAGAGGCAACCGATCATCCTGACGCAAAGAACGGACGTTCCAAGCCCCCACCCTAACTTCCCGCCTGAGGTTCAGCCTCTGGCAGTCGCTCCGGGTGGATGCCACCTCTGCCACCCCCACCGACGCTGCCCCATATAAAAGGGGGTGGCGGGCTGCGTGCCCCATCATCCACCTGTGGGGTTCCCGAGGGCTTTCCCCCACAAGCTTCACTCTGGGCTGGCGGCCACCAGAGCGCAGGCGAGACGGGTAGTTCCCGTTCCAGCCTGCGCTCCAGCAGTCGCCCTCCCAGCAGGGCCCACAGTCCGCCTCACTAGCTGGGTGGGAGGGGCTTTCCCCCTCCTCCCAGCCTCTCCATTTATAGTTTGCACTGCCGATTTGGTTTATATCTGGGGGAGGAGGACTGGCAAGGCCCACCTCCCCGAGCCTCCCATTAACCCCAGGGGGCTAGGGGCAGGAGTTGGGTACAGGGCCAGGGCGTGTCCACACGCCGGTGGGCCATGGCCCTGGACCTCTGGGGCCTCCTGCTGCTCCGAGATCCCCCTCAGTTTAGCCTGGAACCGCAAGGTACCCAGTTTCCATGGGCATATATATATATATATATATATATATATATATATATATATGTATATATATATATTATGTATATATAAATATTTATATATATTGTATATATTGTATATATTATATATATTATATGTATTATATGTATTATATATATATATATGTATTTATATATATTATATGTATATATATATATATTATATATATTATATTATATATATATGTATATATATATATATATATATATATATATATATATATATATATGTATTATATATATATATATATATATATATATATATATATATATATATATAATATAAATGAGATATAGATATAAACATGAATGTAGATATGAATATAAATATAGAATGTATGAATATAAATATAGATATAGATATGATGAATATGAATATGAATATGAATATGATATGAATATAAATATAAAATAAATGAAGTATAGATATGAACAAAGATATAATATAAATATAGTTATGAATATGAATATGATTTGAAGTATATAATAACAAAAATATACACATACACATTCACATACATGTACATAAGAAAATGCACAAGCATACACATGTATATGTATATATATGTATATATTTATGTATATATGTATATATGTATATACATGTGTAAATATGCATTTATGGATATATATATATATATATATATATATATATATATATATATATATATATATATATATATATATATATATAAGAAATATATATATATATTATACTAAAATATATAAAAATATATATACTGAAAGGAAAATATATTGTATTTTCAGTGCCAATGTAAGAGTCACTGTCACTGTCAGTGTCATCACCATTATTTTTGTTGTTATTATTGTTATTATTGTTGTTGTTGTTATTATCATTATCATCAATGATAGTTTTTATGATAATCATGGTATCTAATAATAATGATAATAATAATAAAAAAAAATAATGATAATAATAATAATAATAAATAAAATAATAATGATAATAATAATAATAATAATAATAATAATAATAATAATAATATAATATAATGATAATAATAACAATAATATAATAATAATAATAATAATAATAATAATAATAATAATAATAATAATAATAATAATAGTAATAATGATAATAATAATAATGGTAATGATAATAATGTGATGATTGTTGTTGTTGTTATTATTATTATTATTATTATTATTATTATTATTATTATTATTATTATTATTATTATTATTATTATTATTATTATTATATTTATTATTATTATGATGATAATGATGATGACAATGATGATGATGATATGATGAAGATGATGATGATATGATAATGATGATATAATAATGATAATGATAATGATAATGATAATATTGATAATGATAATGATGATGGTGATTATGATGATGATAATAATATTGATAATGATAATGATGATATTGGTAATGATAATGATAATAAGAATAATGGTAATGATGATATTGATAAAGATAATATTGATAATGATAACATTAATAATGATAATAATAATGATGATGATAATAATAATGATAATGATAATAATATTAATAATGATAATATTAATGATAATAATAATGATAATAATAATAATGATAATGATAATGATGATGATGATAATGATGAAAATAATGATAATAGTAATAATGATAATGGTAATAATAATATTGACTATAATAGTAATAATAGTAATACTAATGATTATAATTATAATTGTTATTGATATTGTTATTAATATTATCATTATTTTTTTTTTCAATTATTAGTTTCATGAAAGTCTGTATTTTATGAGCAACGCATGAAAACATATACTGGGATATTATTACAGTTGAATTCATTTGACGATATCTTTGTTTCTGAAGGATGGAGGATGTATAGAAATCGTTGTGATCACAAATGAAATGTCTTTATATATTGAACATATTTTATGGAGGGTGTAGAAGAACAATAAGAATGATGTGTGGTTATGACTCGTGAAACTTCGTAGAAATTGGTGTGGGTGAAGCTGACATCATTTCCTGAGGTGATTTTACCGGAACATTATTGAGTATTGTACCATTTATTGTATGAATTTCACACATGATCCTTATGTTACAGAATCAGTCAAGTTTTTTTGGATGTAATCCTATTGATACATTTCATTCATTGATATTATTCTAACTGTTAGACTCTGGGGTCTTTTATTGCTGTTTAGATATGTACCGTAGCTTGAACTTTTCTTATTTTGTTGAGCAAGGATATCCTTTAAGTATATAGGAATTCCTCTCATATATACAAATGGTGGAAATCTTTGGTACATGGCTAAGCAAGGATTAATTTTCAACATAGAATTCCTGCTTCTGATATCCGCCTGATTCTTGCTTTACCCAACCCTTCCGTGTTGGTAGGTGGAACGGTGCTCCATGAGGTGCTGGCGGGACGGCAGGTGTATGTTTACCGTTCCTACAAGGACGTCCAGATCTTCCACTTTTCTGTGCCACCTCACGTCTCCGTTGCACACTTCAACTTTACAGCCAATGACACCCTTGCTTGCGATGCCCGTAATATTACTGCGTAAGTTGCCTTTTGAGGGATTTGATTGGTTAGATTTGCCTTTAATAGAAGTTGATATATTTTTCTGTTGCTATTCATGTAATGTAATTGGAATAAGATTTTAGTCTGATTTAGTCTGATTTTTTCATTGTAAAGTAGTTGAGAGGCCCTCTATTTAGCTTTAAAAGAGATTTAAGCTTCCTCAGTTTGAATGAACAGTTTCCACTTTATATCCAAGAAACAGTTACAGTTTGGTCAGAGAATCCACCAGACCAATTTAAATGAACAGTTTCCACTTTATATCCAAGAAACAGTTACAGTTTGGTCAGACCAATTTAAGGAATCTTTAGTTATTAACTATTGATATTTTTTCACAATGTTTTTAATAGAATTTTTTTTTAAGTCTTCATTTTGTCTCTCCAAAAAGAGCGACAAAAGTACAGAATGTCCTTTGATGCCTTCAAAAGGTACAGCTTTCGTTAAAGTTTCACCTCCTGACCTACGCGAATCTTCCAGCTTTCTGCAGGCCCAGAGCTACCCTGTGGTGAACCCCGATGGTGCAGAGTTTCCATCTGGCATGTGGATCAACCGGTCACACGTGTACGAGGTGCACCTGCGCTCGGACCTTAAGCCAGCCCTACTCTCCGTCCCTTTCCCTGTCGCTGGGGATTGGTTCATGGTGGCCTTTATCAATGATACATCCAACCGCATAACTCAGGCTGTGAGTTTCAGAGGTTCATTTATTTATATCTATTTGGTTACTTTTATTTTTTATCTATTATTCTTGATTTATTTTTATTTGTTTATTATTTATTTATCTATCATATTTATTTATTTAATAACACAGCTAGGTTGTCTGTGTGTTTTGTTTGTAAGAGTGTGTTTGTGTATAGAATTTTTTTTTACAGTTGCTAAGATTGATAAATAGATTAATTATATATATTGTTTAGATTGATGCCTTCAGTGTATCCTATTAGTAAAAGATTACATTAGCAACAAAACTTTACCTTTCTTTGAGTATTCAGAAAAAAATATTTTTTCTAATGCTATTGATAATTACTTCTCATAAATGTGATTAACATTATGATTATTATGATATCAACGAAGCTAATAACAATGAAGAAATAAAAGTTGAAAGTTAAAGAAAAAGGTAAACCGATGTGCTAGTTAGGACTTGTATTTGACTTTTGGAGCTATCTGAGTGTAAATACCTGTAATAAACTGAAATCACAGTGGACGTGACCTGTATGTATGAGCCATCCCCACAAGCAATGGGTTGAAGTGTTTGATCAGTCAGTCAGACCCTAATGCAAGCCCTCTCCCTCAGGGCCTGTTTCCATCGTGCCACTCGTGGTTGCAGAGCGAGGTGGAATATCGGCAGGAGGACCAGATTACCACCGTTGTGCCTGAGATCCACTCCCACCAAGAGATTCAGCTCTACCAGAAAGTGGAAGGCTCGGAATATTACAGGTTGGAGTTCACAAGGCAGTTGGAATCTTTTCTCTTTCTCTCTTTTTATATATTTTTTCTTCATCATCATCATCATCAATCATCATCAATCATCATCATCAATCATCAATCATCATCATATATTACTGATACTGATAAAATGTTATTATGATTACTAATATTATTATTATTGGATCTGGGTGCCTCACAGACTATGGGCCTTAGGCTTTCTGAGTGGCAATTTCCTGGGTGTGTGGCTTATAAACCCAGTCCACACAGACACTCATTAACCATATCAAGACTCCTTGCTGCCCCATTGCAATGTTATTTTGTTTTTTTCTGCTTAAGTTTTTTATGCGTTTTTGTTATTTTCCAAAGTCCATAGTCTATTTTGTCATTAGTTACGTATTGAGAGGGGGATAGATTGTTCTTGTCAATCAGACTCTATATTATATCTCTAGGTAGTCTACATCTCTATGCAATAATAATAACTGTAAATGATATTATATTTTTGAAATATTTTACTATTATTCTACTTATTGTAATCCCTCTGTGTCATTAGTCATAGCAAACACAAAGAGGATTCTAAACATGGAAATAGTCTCCCCCTGTGAGCCATTCCACTTCCAACCATAGCTCATGGACAGCTAAGAGCTAAGCACACTTGTAATTTGTTATTCCTATCACCTTTTCCTTCAGCAGAAATTTTCATGACAGTAGATTCTGATCACCCAACCCTCAGTGAAGTGATGATGTTATTTTGATGATATTTTTATGACTGATTTATTTGTTATTGATATCAGTATACAGGACTGCCAAGATAAGGCAGCTGCAGGAGCCTGGGGTGGAATTCACAAAAGATCTGTGACTTTTCTTTGCAATTTTGTTTCAGATTTATGCTGTTGCCACATCTCAAAGTTAATGCTGGTAATAGAAATGATATATAAATCGTTATAGACCCTATTTTGATAATCTATTCTAATAATAAGATAGGGTAAATATGGCAATAAATCTTACTAATATCAAAATGTTAATATTGCACATGTAGCATATTTAAATGTGATGTGGCATACTTACGTTTATTGTCATTGCATCAGTTGTAAAGCCGGGCGATGCTATTTATGCATTTTTGATAAGATACAGCTATAGAACCGTAGGAAACAGCTCAATTAATGTTTGATGATTCATCAGAAGTGGCCTCGAAGCTTTTAATATTATTACTATGCAGAATTATCTTCACATTTGTGTAAATTTGCATTGTAGTTTTAAAGATAGTCCTTCAGCGTGAGGGACACTTCCACACCTGTCCTAAAACTTTGACCGAATCATAGACAAATTTGAAGATAATTCTGGATCGAATAGGATAGAAAAAACTTGGAAAACCCTTTTGATTGATTGTCAAACATTACTTTAGTCTTTTTTATATTTTACAGCTATTTTCTATTCAGAAATACAAGAACTGTCTTTAATTTTATCGTTATGCATAAGGACTGTCTTAAATTTGTTTTTATGCAAATTTTTCTCTGTTGAAGGTTATTCCACTTTGGAAATAATAAGAAAAGATTCAAGGCTACTTTTGATAAATTATCAAACATTAATAGAGTTGTCTCCTACATTTTTATTGGTGTATTTTATTGAAAAAGCACAAATAGTGTTGCCCACCTTTTCATATTTACCATATCTTATTATTACAATAGATTATCAAAATAGGATCTATAAGGATTTACATGTTATTTCTACTACCAGCATTAACTTTGAGATGCGGCAACAGCATAAATCAGAGACAAAATCGCAAAAATTTGCAAAGAAAAGTCACAGACCTTTTGTGAATACTGTCCGTGGGCTCTGCAAGGGTCTGTGAAAATAGATATTTGGTTTCCTGTCTCTATGATTAAATTTCCTGCACATGCATTTTTTTCTGTGCAATAAGTGTTACTATAACAAACCCAATCACAGTTGTATGATATCTGAATATGCAATCTTCTTGCAATCTGAAGCATATCATAATATTATGCACTTGCAGCATTAACTAAAGGCAAGCATCCCAAGTTGCCTTGGGGGTAACCTTCACTCTTGGTTACCCTGATATTATTTATGTTGTAATTTTATGATCATTGGAACTATTGTTATTTTTATGGTTATTGATAATTTCATTTCATCTTTTTCTTTTTATCATCTCAACTGAAAACAAAGTGAAGATCACCATCATCAAAAACAGTATGTGACTACAGCCTCAAAGAGCCCTCTTTCTTCTCTAGATTTTATG